GTAATCCCAGTTACTCAGGAGGCTGAGGCAGGAGAATCACTTGAATCCCAGAGGCAGAAGTTGCAGTGAACCAAGATCCTGCCTCTGCACTCCAGCCTGGGCAACAGAGAGAGATTCCATCTCACACACACACACACACACAAAAAGATAAAATAAATAAAGGCTACAGATAAACAGTCAGATGAAGAGATACATAGGGTGAGGACTGGAAGACTGCCAAGTACAGAAGTTTCTGTCCTGGTGGAGTTGGACACGTGGATGAGTTGGGTTTTTTTGTTGTTGCCCAGGCTGGAGTACAGTGGCACTAACTCGGCTCACTGCAACCTCTGCCTCCCATGCTCAAGTGATCCTCCCCTCTCAGCCTCCCAAGTAGCTAGGACCACAGGCATGTGCCACTATGCCCAGCTAATTTTTTTATTTTTGTAAAGATGGGGTATCTCTATATTGCTCAGGCTGGTCGGGAACTCCTGGGCTCAATCCATCCACCCACCACGCACTACCAAAGTGCTGGGATTATAGACATGAGCCACTGCACCTGGCCATGGATGCGTTCTTGTTCCCCTTCCTGTCAGCCACCACATGAAGCTCCCCAAACCCTGTCATCTTGGACCTTTAAAAAAAAATTAGTTAAAAAATTAAAGACAGGGTCTCACTATGTTGCCCAGGCTGGTCTTGAACTCCTGGTCTCAAGTGATCCACCCACCTCGTCCTCCCATAGGGCTGGGATTACAAGATTAGAGATGCCAGCTGTCAGGTGGCTAGGTGGATTCAGTGTAAAGTCCTAGAAGATGCATTTTAGTAAAAACAGCCACCTGACAGCTGGCATCCATCCATTCAGTGAAGATTGCTGGGCACTGTGGATACTGTGAAGGAGGCAGCAGTAGCAGCCGGCCTGCAGAGTGAGGTGCAGTGCCGGAGGGCTTCAGGAGGAGGTGGCATTGCGATTGGTGTCTGAAGAGTGCCTCAGGCCATGACAATGGAGCCAGTGCAAAGTCCCAAAGACCGGGAAGGAGCAAGAGGAAAGGACGGTTCATATCCAGCTGCTCAATTCCAAAAAAAAAAAAAGAGGAAAGGACGGGTGCCAGCAAGGTAGGACAAAGGGGGCCTTTGGCATGCTTTTTTTCCCAGTGGGGAAATGGAATGCTCAGATTTGCCTACTGAGTGCCCAGGCTGCAGTAGGGAAACAGCAGGGGGGCTGGAACCTATGATTGGGAGTCTCCGGGTGAGAGGAGTGGCCCTGTGGGGACTGGGGATCAGGTGAGGCTGAGAGTGGGGTGTAGAGGCGGGAGCAACTGGACAGGACCAGTGAGGATGCAGGGGCAGCCTCCCCGGGCTAGACACTGGCTGCCTGGCGGTTGGAGGTCTGGGGAGGCAGCTGCTTAGCTCAGGCTTGGGCACGTCCACCTGGCGCGTCTGAAACATTAGCCAGCAGGGGTGCAGACTCGTCAGTGAGAGCATTCCTGAGCCCAGCATCCAAGAAGTGAGGGAGGTCGGGAAGGTGCTGCTACAAGGCAGGGGGAGGTCCCCAAAAGTCCAGGTGAGAGCATGGCATGTGTGGAAAGTGCTGCGCCATTTTGCCATCAGTGAAGTCATGTGGGGCTGTGGGTGAACAGGTAGGCTTGCACGTGCCACCAGGGCGTCATTGAGACAGGAGCAGGTTGGCTCTCCTAGAGATCAGACCATGGAATTGTGTCGGGACTGGGGCATGGACAGTCTCCCCCCACCCCCAACCTCTCCTTGGAGCTTTGAGACACTGCAGATAATTAGCAGGTGATGTGATAAATCCTACCTGTGGAGGGTGCCTTGGGCAGGGAGGACAGGGCGCATAGGAGGGTCGCCCTTTGGGCCCCTGCTCTGAGCTGCTCATCAGGAAAGGAGAGAAGCTCCTACAGCCCGGTGTCGGAGGCTGGTGAGACCCTGTGAGGCCTCGAAAGTAGCAGGTGCCTCCTACAGTCTGCGCGTGGCCATCTCAGGGAATCCACCCAGCAACTGTTCTAGTCATCCCTGCTCTTCAGGTAGGAGACTGAGGCCAGGAAGGGAAAGGCTGCTATGATACCCACACTGTCAGTGGCTGGGGTTGTTTGAACCCAGAGACTCTAGGGCCCATGCCTCTGCCATCCTGCCTCTGGGTTTGATAGTTGGACTTGGTCCATCAAGTGCCAGGCCAGCCCTGTGGCTGGGTGCTCCCAGACATTCACAAGCTGACAGTTCTGAAGGACCCATGCACTTGGCCATGCTCCAGCCTGTGTCCTCACATGAAAGGTGGATGCTGGAATAATAAATGCTGCAGATGGCACTGGGGGTGTTGGCCATGCTCTGGGGGCACAGGAGCTCTGTCCATGCCCACAGTTGGCCTGTGCTGACCTCCCTCCATCACAACTGAGTGGCACCAGCCCTTTCATTGAGCTGAAGTCTTCCTTCCATCCCTTCAGTGTGGTCTTTGTGGCTCAGAGAGGCTGTGGCCAGGTACAGGATCTGGGGTGGCTCCTGCTTCTCTGCTCTGTGGCCTTAGACAGTGGGCAGGATCTGAGGTCAGGCCCACCTGCAGCAGGTGGACTATTGCAACCTGCAGCAGGTATTACAAAGAGGCAAACTGGGGCTTAATGTTGGGAAGAGCTTGCCAGCCAAACACAGTCCCACTGTCTTTGGAGGTAGTGAGCTCCCCATTGGGGAAGGTATGTAAGCCGACCTTTCTGGGATGCTGGAATATCAGAGACCAAACATTTGAGATTCTGTGATCCCAATATTGACTCAAATGCTATAATGCTTGGATTTGAAGTCAGTTTCATTTAGCCAGTTTACCAAGTGTCTCCTTGGTGCAGTACACCAGGGGACACAAAATGTCCTGGATAATTATTGGGTTTCGGGCTCCCAGGGGGCCCTGAGATGTTGTTCCAGCAGTTCTGGAGTATGGGCCAGGCACGGCGGGCATCTGGACCCATCCTGCATTACTCACTCATTGTGAGCTTCATGACTGCAGTTCGGGATGTCACGCCCCCATGCACTGCCCCCACCATTCCCCACAACATGGCCCTCACCATGGCCCACTCAGGGCACGAGGCTTTCTGGGTGATTCCTGGTACTCAGTGTGGTCAGTTTTCTGGATCTGACAGTGGGGTGGGGCTGCAATGAGATGCCAGTTGCAGGAACTGCTTTGCAACTTGTGTCATGGGTCACTGTCTTGCCAAGTGGCTTTGGGCAGGTCCCTTCCCCTCTCATGCTACAGGTTCCTATGCCAAGAGCTCCCTTCTTGCCCCACCAGGAGCTTGTTTTCCCAGATACAGAGGTGGGGCAGATCCCAGCCCATTGAAACAGACAGGGCTTTGGAGGCCACAGTGGGCCCATTTCTCAGAGGAGCCGTGTGGTTGGATGCTGAGCCGGGCACTGACCTGGCCCTTTGGCCAAGGCCCCCGAGGCAGTGTGGGCTGCTGGTGCCAGCACACAGGGGTGATAAGGAGGTAAAAGTCACTAGAATGGTGGGGCGCCACCCCCTGGGCTGTGTTGGCAGCTGTCCCTGGCTGGAGGCCGGCTTGGCCCTGGAACACTCCTCAAGGAACAAGGACACAAGAGAGCCCCTCAGCCAGCCTCCACCTAGCACCCCAATCAGCGCTCCCTTCTTCCCATGACCCCTGCCCTCTGCTCGGCTCCTGAAGCCGGCGAAGGCACTAATGGGCACCCACCACGGTCTTAATGAGTGAGCCAGGCTTAATAGGTTACTGGGCCCGTGACACATTGACCAGCCTCCCAGGGATCTCAAAGTCCAGATTGACTTGGCTTTGAAGGTCTTAGCTCGGCCACCTCCTTTTCCAGCCTTGACACCTCGGGGATCAGGAAGGGCCTAAGGTGGTCAAGAGGTCCCCTGTAGCCCTCACTTCCTGGGAAAGGTTCCAGTTCCCAGCCTTCAGGGTCAGGTGGTTCCTTCCACCTGCAGGTCCTCCCCAAATCCAGTCCCAGCTTGGGCTACATTCCCAAGGCCCCTATTCTAGTGTCTGCCCCTCCCCTAGGGCTCTTCCCTCTGGGGTGACCATACTGTCTCATGCCCAGCCAGGTCAGGGCTCCTTGAGAGAAGAATCTGGAGGGGCCAGGATTTGATGGGAGAATGAATGATGGAATGAAAGAAGGAATTTAAGTGAGAGCCTTTCTAAGAGTGACAATTCGGGCAGGTTGCAGACCATGTGTGGGCCTCAATCTGAGGGCTGAGAGGCTTGGGCCTGCCAGCCCTGTGGGGGCACCCACCCCATCTCATTGAATGGGGCAGAGCAGGTGAGGGCGTGATGGATGGACAGGCCTCATCCCCCTGCTTCTACTATCTGGGGTCCTCCATCAGCCTATCTGCTCAGAACCCTGAAATTGGGGGTTGAGGAAGGACCCTCCTGGATCATGTGACTCCCTTCAGCCCAGGTGAGGGGGGTCCTTGGAGTAACAGCTCCTAGAGCCCTGCCTGTAGCCCTGCAAGTTGGGGAGAGGGCCTGTTAGGAGAGGTATCCCTTGCCCTGGGGTCGTAGAGGTGATCTAGGCTCCTCAGACCTTGTGGGGTCTCAGATGTTTACATCTCCAACCCCTCCCGGCTTGGGCATCTGGCTGCACCCCAGCTCTGTGGCCTCATCTCCCAGGGAACCTTTGTTCTAATCTGTCTCCTGCTGAAACCCGGCCTCATTCAGCTCAGCGAGGGGGTGAGACTGGTGTGGGCGCACCCTGCAGAAGGATCCCACAGGTGGGCAGAGCCCTGGGTTCTTTATCCGACTGGGTCTGGGCTGGGGAGGCCTCTGTTTCTTGACTGATGAGTGGATTTGAGTGAGGTATGCGGGTGGGTGAAGGAGGGCTGGGGGGAGTCACCTGACTTAGGCAAAGAAGCCCTTGAGACAGCTGTGGCTTCTTGGAATTAAGAGGGAAGAGTGCAGCATGGAGAAACTGAGGCCCGGGAGGATTTGGCAGCCCTGAGTGGGGGTGGGGGGATCAGCTCTAGAGTAGAGCCAGAGCTGTGATGGGGTTGGGGGACCCTGTGTCCTTGGGCCATGCTTATCCCACTCCTGGGCTCTGTGTGTGGCTGTGGATTGGGGTGGGACAGGGCTGGTTGTGCGAGGGGTCATTGCCCAACTCCAGGGGGCGCCTGCCACCTCTCAGCTCTCTATAGGGATACATATAGTTCTTTCAACAGGTTTCCAGCAGGTAGAGGTTATTAAATTTTACTGAAGGGGTGTTTTTTCTAATTCTCAACGCTGCACCACAAGGGTAGACAGTGTGGGAGACAGATTCCAACTCCAGGTCTGGGTGGTAAGCATCCGGTCCAGGGGTGTAGACAGGCCTGGGGAAGCCCCAGAGATCTGTGCGTTCTCATACCCAGGGCTAGTGACTCCATGCTGGGGGTTGGGCTCACCCTCAGGTCTGAGACCTCCTGGGGCCAATTGACCTCAGTAAATGCCTTTTGTCTAAGCTTCAGTTTCCTGCCTGTGAATGGGGTTGGGGCTGTGCTCTGGTTTCACCCTTGTGGCTCTGGGGTTGTGGTGACAAAGCCATCAAGCTGAATTGGAGGATTAACAGGGAAACCAGAGTGGCTGCTGGGTCTACCTCTTCCTCATACTCCTCTCTCTGCTGCATCCTGGGAAGCTGCTCAGCTCAGCCTAGATTAGGCTCAGTTGTGGGTGTGTCTGAGGCTGGGCCTGACCCTGCTCCTTACCCCGTGGATGCAGCAGAGCCATGAAGAAATTAGTGGTGCTGGGCCTGCTGGCCGTGGACATTGTTGGCCTCTGTCTCTTGCTGCCCTTGGCCTCCAAGGAACCTGACAACCATGTGTACGCCAGGGCTGCCGTGGCTGCGGATGCCAAGCACTGCTCCGAGATTGGGAGGTGAGCAGGGCAGGGCATGGGGTCATGGGCCCTGGAAACCGGGCAAGTGGACCTGGACAATACCTCTGCCCCTGTAAGACTCAGTTTCCCCACATGTAAGCTTTGCTTGGACTCTCTCAGTAGCCTCTGGGAAGGGGACGGTGACCTCAAGAGCAGGGTGTGGGTCTCCTAGAACCCAACAGGGCCCCTTTTCTCAGTTCTAAGAGTCTCTGTCTCTTTGGATAAACTCCTCTGTTTTGTTGTTTGGTTGTTATTTTTACTTATTTCTATTTATTTATTTATTTATTTATTGAGACGGAATCTCGGTCTGTCACCAGGCTGGAGTGCAGTGGTGCAATCTCAGTTAACTGCAACCTCTGCCAACCGAGTTCAAGCAATTCTCATGCCTAAGTCTCCCAAGTAGCTGGGATTACAGGCATGCGCCACCACGCCCAGCTAATTTTTGTGTTTTTGTGTTTGTTTGTTTGTTTGTTTGTTTTTCCCCTGAGGTGGAATCTTGCTCTGTCACCCAGTATGGAGTGCAGTGGTGAAATCTCAGCTCACTGCAACCCCCACCTTCCAGGTTCAACTGATTCTCCTGCCTCAGCCTCCCAAGTAGCTGGGACTACAGGCATGTGCCACCATGCCTGGCTAATTTTTGTATTTTTAGTAGAGACAGGGTTTCACTATGTTGGCCAGTCTGGTCTTGAACCTCTGACCTCATGATTCGCCCCCCTCTACCTCCCAAAGTGCTGGGATGATAGGCACGAGCCACTGCGCCTGGCCTAATTTTTGTGTTTTTAGTAGAGACGGAGTTTCACCATGTTGGCCAGGCTGGTCTCGAACTCCTGACCTCAGGTAATCCACCTGCTTCGGCCTCCCAAAGTGTTGGGATTACAGGTGTGAGCTACCACACCCAGCTTATTTCTTTTTTTAAAGGTGTAGTCTTACTGTATTGCCCAGGCTGGATTGTAGGGGAGCAATCACAGCCCACTGCAGCCTCGAACTCTCGGGTTTAAGTGATCTTCCCACCTCAGCTTCCTAAAGTACTAGGATTACAGGTGTGAGCCACAGCACCTGGCCTCTACTGTTTAGACTTCTATCTCGTGTTATATACAAAGATCAGTTCCCTCCTAAAGGCTTAAACAGAACAAATGTTGTGTTTTTGATTTTTTGAGACAGGGTCTTGTTCTGTCACCCAGGCTGGAGTGCAGTGGCATGATCATAGCCCACTGCAGCCTTGAACTCTTGGGCTTAAGCCATCTTTCCACGTCAGCCTCCTGAGTCACTAGGACTACAGGTGTGCATCACACCTGACTAATTAAAAAAGACTGTTTTGGAGAGATGAGGTCTCACTATATTGCCCAGGCTAGTCTTGAACTCCTGGCCTCAAGTGATCCTCCATCTTGGCCTCCCAAAGTGCTGAGATTACAGGTGCAAGCCACTGTCCCCAGCCAGGAAAAAAAAAAAGTTTTATTAAATAAAAACAATAAGCCAATTTCCCTTTTGCCCACTTATGAAAAGTCATATACATTGTTTGCTTGAAAAGAGGGAACTGGCTGGCGAGTGGAATCATATCTGTAATCCCAGCCACTTTTTGGGAGGCTGAGGAAGGGGGATTCACCTTGAGGTCAGGAGTTCAAAGACCAAGCCCTGGCCAACATGGTGAAA